CCAAGCTTCGCACTTCGCACGGACGCAATGCGCATCTTTGTCTGGGGCGCTTCCCAGTGTCCAGCGCAAAATCGAAAGATCCGGGCCGTGGCGCTTCGCGCTGGGGCGACCCCCTGGCAGGCCTCGCCAGCGGGGCGTTGCGGGTGTTCGCGCAGTCCAGCGCGAACCGCCTGGTGCTGCTGGTTCCCGTTGTGCTCGTTCTGTTGCAACTGCTGGTGGTGCTGGTGTTGCTTTGCGTTGCTCAGCGGCTTTCCGTCGTGCTCGTCGCAGTGATGCCGCTGGTGGCGCTCGTTCTGCGGAGCTTGGCGCCGCTGCTCGCCGCCGTGCTCGTTGCAGCGGTGGTGCAGGTGGCGTTGATGCTGCTTTGTGTGTTGTTGCTGCTCCTCGTCGCGCTCGTCATACTGAAATTGCTCGGGTCGCTCGTGCTGCTGTGCGTGGTTGTGCTGCTTGCTGCCGTGCGGACCGTAGAGCTACTACTGGCGAAGCTATTGCCACTGCTGCTCTCAGCACTGCTGGTGGCATCGCCGATGCTGCTGTAGTGCTTGTCGCAGTAGTTTCGCTGGTTGTGCTAGAGCTGGTGCGCGTCGTACTATTGTTTCCCAGTATGCGGGTCCTGGTGGTGCTGCTGATTTGGAGCTTCTGCGTGTCGTGCTGCTGCTTGTCACGGTGCTCGTCACAGTGGTGCTGCTGGTGGCTCCATTGCTGGTGGCGCTGGTGTTGCTTGCGCTACTGCTGCTGGCGGCGTTGATGCGGCGCGTGATGTTGCTGCTTCCTACAGGCCTTGGTGGAGTGGCACTGCAGGTGGCGCTCTTGCTGCTGCCTTCGTCTTGCTACTTACAGTTGTGCTGCTGGTGGCGCTTGTGCTGCTGCTGCTGTTGCTGCTGATGGCGATGCTGCTGCCTGTAGGGCTGGTCACAGTGGAACTTCTCGATTCGCTCGTGTTGCTGACCGACGCGAGCGTCGCGGGTCGTCGTGCGCACCTCCGCCAGGCCGCGTGGACTGTGGTGCGATGGGCGAGCAGCTGGCTCCTGTGGGACAGGCTGTGGGCTGTGCCCTGGGGCGCCCCCGCCCAGCGCAAAATCGAGCTATTCGGGCCGTGACGTTGTGGGCCGCAGCACGGAGGCACGGTAGCAATTCCTCCCCACCTACCTCGCTGGCGTGGGGAGGGGGGCGATCGCGCAGTCCGGCGCGAATCGCCTGGGCGTGCTCGTTCCAATGGAACTGCTGGTGGCGTTGGTGCTGCTTGCGCGTGTGATGCTGCTGGCTGGAGAGGGCGCCGGTGCTAGGCGTTGGAGCTGCTGTCCAGGCTGGGCGGCGGCAGGCGGCGGGCGCTGACGGCGGGCCCACGACGAGTCACTACCCCGTCCTCGCGCTCGCCCTGGCGCTCCTGGTTAGCGCTGCTACTTTAGGCCCCGGCTGGCACCACCCGTTCCGAACCCTGGGAACGACCGTCGTTCGGGCTTGGGGCGAGCAGCAGTTGCTCCCGTGGTGGGGTTCGCAAAATTTCGAGCGGACGGATCGCGCATTTCTGCTTTGGGGCGCCCTGGTCCCCAGCGCAAAATTGAACGATTTGGGCCATGACGCTTTGTGCTGGACTGAACGCCTCCCCCCCCGCTGGTCAGGCCTGCGGGGGGGTGGGAACACTCGCGCAGTCTGGCGCGAATCGCCTGGTGCTGCTAGTTCCCGTCGCGCTCGTTCTAGTGGAACTGCTGGTGGCGTTTGTGTTGCTGCGCGTGGTGTTGCTGCTTTTAGTCGTGCTGATTACAGTGGTGCTGTTGGTAGTGCTTGTATTGGCGCGTGTCGTGCTGCCGGATCCAGGATCCTGTCGTGCGCGTCGCGGCGGTGCTGCTCCTTGCGCGTGTGTTGGTGCGTGTAGTGCAGTGGTATTGTTGGTTGCATTTGAGTTGCTTCGCGTGGCGTTGTTGCTCCCAGTCGTGCTCGTCACCACTGCTTGAATCGCTTGTCTGGCTTGCACTACTACTTCTGCTGTTGTTGGTGTTGGTGTAGTTGCTGCTGCGCGTGGTGCTGCTGTCTCTGGCGCTGATCGTCTCAATGGTGCTCCTGGTTGCGCTGGAGCCAGTGCGCGTGTTCAGTGGGACACCTCGCTCGCTCACGATTGCGACGGATGCTCTCGCCTCAAGAGACGCCACATCCACTGTATCGACTTTGTGTTGGCCTTAACCCAGGCCGCATCCATGGTTGAGAACGTTGCTTCCGCCGCAGCGCAGGCCACATTCATGATTGCGAACTTTACTTTCGCATCTTCGCGGGCCACGTCAATGATTGCGAACGTTGCTCTAGTGCCGGCCACATCCGTTCTTGCGAACGACACTTTCGCTTCAGTGCCAGCCACATCCACGACTACGACGGCTGCTGTCGCCTCAGCTCCAGCCATATCCATGATTGCGAACGTTGCTCTCGCCTCAACGCTGGCCACATCCATGATTACAAATGTTGTTGTCTTCTTGGCGCAGGCAACATCCACGATTGCGAATGTTGCTCTTGCGTCAGCGCCGGCCACACCCACGATTGCGAAAGTTGCTGTCGCCCTAGCGCCGGCCACATTCATGATTGCAAATGTTGCTGTCGCTTCAACGCCGGCCACATCCACGATTACGAAAGTTCCTCCTGCTTTAGCGCCGGCCATATCCACGATTTGCGAAAGTTGCTCTTGTCCTAGCGCCAGCCACATCCATGATTGCGAACGTTGCTCTCGCCGCAGCGCTGGCCGCATCTATGATTGCGAAAGTTGCTCTCCCTTCAGCGCCGGCCAGATTCTTCATTGGAAACGAACGGGGATTAGTGATACCGTTGGCACATTTGCATTGCATGTTGCTGTGTCGCCCCATTCTGGTGCATCATTCCCTGCAGCGCGCGCACGTGACACACTGGTGTCGCCGAGCCGTTGGCCACGTTAACGTCAATGGGTCAGGTTAGCTTTTGGCGGACTGTCGACAGGGCTTGGGTTAGGTTCGGGTAGGGATTGGCTACGTTAGGGGGGGTTGTATAGCACCCCGCAGTTGCGAATAAGAGTGAGGGGGCGGGCGCGGATTGGATCGTGGGTGGGTCGCGGGCGAGTCGCGGGTGGGTCGTGGGGTGGGTCGCGGGTGGGTTGCGGGTGGGTCGCGGGTGGGCCGCGGGTGGGTCGCGGTGGGTCCCGCGTGTGTCGCGGGTGGGTTGCTGGTGGTCGCGGGTGGGTCACGGGTGGGTCGCAGGCTGGGTCGCGGGCGGGTCGCGGGGTGGGTCGCGGGCGGGTCGCGGGCGGGTCGCGGCTTGGGTCGCGGGTGGGTCGCGGGCGGGACGCGGGTGTGTCGCGGGCCGGGTCGCGGGCGGGACGGCGAGTACATACAACAAACAACAAAAATAATCAATCAATTCACAGCAAACAACAAACAACAACCAACAGACAACCAACAGCAAACATCAAACAACAAACCACGAACGACAAACAACAAAAACACAATCAATAATAACCACCATAACAACAATAACAACAATAACAACAACAACACCCGCAACACTAACAACACCAACAACAACCATCACCACCACAACCACACCAGCCGCAACAACAACAACCACACCGACAACGACAACAACATCAGCATCAACAACCACAACAACAACAACGACAACAGCAACACATCAGCAATCCGCACCGCGGAAGCCCACTTCAGCCACGCACCCAGGGACTGCATGACCGTTCGGCCCCCCCACTCTAATTTGCCAGACAGTACTTGCCCTCTGTCCGAGTGCATGGAAAGGTTTAGGGAGGTTGAAGGGCTGATCGGCAAAGCGAGGCACATTGGATTCTGGTGGATGCTCGTGAGAGGCGATCCGACTGGACAATTTCCATCAGTTCTTCCTCATACAGGGCCTCAGTCATGCGGTGTGGCTTCTATTATGAGTGCTGAGGTAATGGATTTTTGGTATATGTGCCAGACTATTCTTAGATTATCGCGTGCGTGCCGTGAACAAACGGTCTGATAAATCTGAGTGCCAGTGGTGGTTGACAAGGGCTCGCATAGGGTGCAAGGGACTCACATTGAGTATGAGTTGGTTTAGGTGGAGGCTGCGAGCACTGGCCACGTATGCCAGGAACGAGTCCTTCGAGGTGACCAGTATCCAGTGCATGTCAAGCCTAACACCCAGGGATCATGTTGGAAGAAAAGGAAAGAGCGCAGACATTCGATGAAGCAGTGGGCCCCGAGGGATCGGGCTGTCTCAATTCAGTTTGCTGCCCAAGCGATGGATGACATGAGCAATTTCTGGGGCTGGCCAAAGGATCTCCATGGCGAGCCGTCGTTGGATGAGCTACGGGCCTCGTGCGAAAACCGGATTGATGAGGTCGACCATGCGACAAGGTGAAACCAGAGGCAAACATCTAAACAGAGATTGGGTGATTTGCGCGGTAAATTGCCAGCAGTGTCAAGTGTGTCACCTATAAGTTTCACAATTGAGTTTCACCACGTATATTGCACCCACCTATAAGTCCCCACATCGATTGCGCAAACTCCGTTCCTAGAAACACACCATTCGGGGTCTACGCTGGCTAACATACTTACGTCGTTTTCTGTTCGTCCATCCTTCCTCCTCCTCCTCCTCCTCCTTCCTCTTCTCTTCTTCCTCCTCCGCCTCCTCCTCTTCCTCCTCTCTTTTAAACTCTTGGAAAGGCCCCCTGTCTCCCCTCAAAATTCTGCTCCTCGTCCGGTCCCCGTCCCTCTTGCAAATGAGATCCGCGCGCGCTGAGCACAATCGTGTGCTCGCGCGGGCA